TGGTTTAATATGGGCTCGATCAGCTTTATACAGGGTGTGCTGATGGAAGTTCTAGCTTGAAGGCTTAAATAAAATAATATCGCACAGTTTGCAGTATGTCCCCATGGTGCAGTGGTAACGAAATGGCCCATTGTACAGGAGATCCCGAGTTCGAATCTGGGCGGAACTTATTATTCTTTTTCCCTTTTTTTCTGTTTTTTTCCCTTTTCATTTAGTTTTTTTTAGTTAATGTGGTTTTGTTTCTTTATATAGTGTTTTTTTTTTACTGAATAAATTTTCTTCCCTATTGCCTTACTTCCTTTTCTTCTTACTTCATGCCATTCCCACTAAGTGCTTCGCGAGGTCCTCCAATTCTTGTATTTCCAGTACTGTAGTGCATTTTTACATACTGTCATGTCCACCATATTCCTCCATATTGGTGTCCTAAAACAATGAATCAGCAGCCATGTTGGTGTTCCAAACTAGTCCTGTTGGAGGTGAACCTTTTTTGATATGTTAAAACGGCATTTTGTGCCAATCAATTTGCATAGGTGCTTGTCACACAAGAGAAAAATGTCCTGTAAGGGTTTCCATCATTTGGAGGATAAAACCATTGGATTTCATTCATGGATTCAAAAGCTAGAGTGAAATAAATTATCTTGAAATGGCATGGTCTTGATTGAAGTGAAAACGTGACAAAATACAAAACAAAGTCTTAAAATCACTTGGAATGTCTGTCTTGAGATAGAGATGTCTGTTTTATAGAGAGTCCGAACTAAAAGGAGTGAAGAAAGGGAGGGACCAACATTACTCTAGGTGTTCATCTTAGCATGGTGTTCATTAACAGCGAGTTGACCTTATTACCTTAAAAAAAAAAAAGACACAGTGTTTACAAAACCTGGATCAGATCAACCCTGTAACCCTGTAACCCTATAACGTATCCCCAGCAGCCTTTAGTGACTAAGTGGAGTTGTTGGGATCGAAGGTTTTGTTAATTGACACCTGAAAAAGACTAGTCACGGCCAGCTACACTGTACTAAAATCCTGGTCTGGGAATCTAAAAAAAGGATTTGTGGGCTACTGACCAGAGAGTATATACTAGGCAACTAAAAATATCAGACTTGATCATGTTATTGATGTCATTATTAGGGCTGATAGTAATACCCATTCTATTCCCTTTGGGTAAATGAGTCCAGTCAGGCCTGAGTTTTGTACCTGCCCATGTTCACTAGGGTAAATCACGTCTGGAATGCTAGTCAAATAAGTGCAATGTTGCCATGAGGTGCAGGGAACACTCATAAACTCGTCTTTTGATTTTTCAGGAGGAGATGATGATGATGATGAGGACGATGAGGATGATGATGATGATGATGATGATGAGTAAAAGAAGGGATACCCTTGCATTTGTCTCAAAGAGAGCCATAATTGTTTACTTTCATTCGTGAGGTTTTTTAAGTGTTTTCTTTTTTTTTTCCTGAACTTCTAGCCTTTCTCTGGTATTCAGATGGTGGCAAGCAACAGAAAGGAATCCTGCGTCGCCTACATCGGCAGTTACAACACATTTCCAATCTTTTACTTCCCACCATCTGAAAGCCTTAAACAGGCTGCTAAACTCAAAGAGTATATTTCCCAACAAGTTTCAAGTAAGATTATGTAACATAGTTGTTTACTGGCCAAATTTGATTACATCAAATAAGCACCATCAGTGGTTAGCATGGCACTTTTTTTTTCTTTTTGAAAAAAGGTTAACCAGTTTTCTCTTCTAAGTCCAGTTTTTTGACTGGTGTTGCTTGTTTGTTTCAACAGCAATACATGTAATTCATTTTTTTCCTTCTCAGACATAGTTTGAGTTATTTTGGACTTGACTTAATTTTGTTCTTATGGATAACAGAAAGCAGCAGTTATTGAAATTTTTTAGAGCCCTACATTACCTCAAGAGTTTTTAAAGGCCTTGATTACATTGAAATAGTACAGAACTGAAACTGTCATACATGCCAACAATTTTGTAGCAACATGCTGCTAATTAATTACCTTTTGCTCAAGAGAAAATGAGACCTGAACGAACAAACATCCTGCTTGCCACAAATTATTGTGCTATAATATTGTTATTTTCTTCTAAAATATTCCTGTTATGTAGATAATTCTTAATTTTTTTCTTTTGTTTAATTTTTGTCTTCACTTCATTCTTTCCATGCTAAATTCTATTCCATACTTTATTCAGGTTTTTTGAATTCAAAGACCTCATCTTTCATCTGAATTGATGACTACTAAAAATTTAAGTTTTACATGTAAGGACCTGTTACACTGAGCAATATTTTTTTTTTTTGCAACTCGTCCCACAGTTTTGTTGCATTGTTGTGAGAAAAAATGCAGAAGATGCTGTTTAGTGCAATATGCCCATTTGTTGCAGCTTTGCCGTAATAGTTGCAAGAGTTAAAATTAGATCCTACAACTTTGTACAATCTTCCTGCAAAAGCACTTTGCAAGAGTTTTTCACGCAGCAAGTTTTAAACATGCAGGATACGTCTTAGCACTAGTTCTCTGCAGAAAGACTGTAACAAGGGCTTTTGTTGTCTTTGCTAGCATTTTTGAATCAATTTAGTTTTACAAGACAATATCATATGCATTGTCATTCTGTAAGTTGTTTGCGGCCTTAAAGGTTTCCTCCATCACCACCACCATCTCCCCTCCACCCCAGTTTGCTTTTAGTGTGAAAAAATATGTCATTATTGAATTTGTACAATTGTCCAAGTAGCTGTGTGTATTAATTTTATTATGATTTAGTTAGGTCAGCTTAAGTTGAACCATATTACTGTGTTTACAACAATCCAACAAAATTAACTTTTGGAACATAAGAAGCAAATTACCTCTTTGATCAACAGTACACGAGCAAAATTGTGAAGTTCTTTTCTTTATATTCCCATTCATAACACTCCTGTGGTAAGTTGTCAATAATCGGCTTATAAATACTGTGAAATGTAAGTTTTATTCAGCTTCTGGAGTTGTTTGTACAGGTTAACCCTTGAATCTTCTATATCAGAAAACAAAATCAATTCTGTGCTCATAGATCTTGTACAATAGTACTTGGCAGGGAGAAGTTGAATTTGTTGATACATGTATTGAATTCATTGCAGGTGATCATGTTCCTAATTCTCCTAACCTTTTTTAGGTATTAATAAAACAAGGAGATAATTGATTTTAATCAACACTTTGAGCAAGTCAATGGCCTTAAGATTAAGATCAAGTGTAGTATATTATGATCTATATAAATTACACACAACCGAACCGTAACTAGTAGAAGTTGATTTCTGCATAGTTTCTTGTGGTAAATTAAGGTGCCTTTAGTTTTCCTTTGAGCTCCTAGAGCTGAGGAAACTATGAATATCTCAGTTACAGGGGCGAGAGAAACCACAGTATCCCTCAAAGGTAGTTTAAGAAGGGGATCTTGTTGTAAGCTAGCAATAAAATTGTGTTGTTGATTGGTAGCAAGAGGTTATTTTCACTGATTTTGTTGGCCTTGTTTGTAAACTATCCTTGAAAAGCCTTTTTAGTTTGTACATCTCTGTTTGTAAGTGTTTTAAATAAAGCTGTTCTTTTTCATTCTGGTTTGCTTTTTTTTCCCACGTGAATTCTTACGCAGGCATGCATGTATTTTTCATGGTTTTCCCAGAAGGACGTTGACTCTTTGTTCTTGTGAATTAAAATCGTATACTTCGAGGAAAATTTATCTTACTTTCTTTGGTTTTAGCCAGTTTCTGTGTCTCTGAAGACAGTATTAAAATAAAAGAAGGTGGTCAAAGAAAAATGGGAAGAAAATAGGCCAAAAACCCTTGCCAGCGTGCAGACGTCTCCTACAACTCCCTCAATTTTATTACCCTGTTTAGGACAAAGGACAAAATGCACGCCGTGTTGTTTTAAAGTCATTTATTGGCAATTGCAATTGAGAACATCATGTTACAGTCATTGCTTCTTGAAGGTACAAACGCACTCGCACAAATCATGCAAACTGTTTAGGACAGACTCGTGCGAAATTATATACCCTGTTAGGACAGAGAGGACGAAAACCATACCCTGTCCAGCTGCACATCCCTGTATAGGCCATATAAGGGAGTACCCCCCCCCCCC